CCGCCTGCCCCGTGGGGGGGATGCGGGCGCCGCGCACTGCTCTGGGAGACGCGTCGGTACAACGCGAGCGTGTGCGCCACGTGTGTACAGCGCGGGCGGGCGTGTGTGCATGTGCACTGTGCATATGTGTACTGTGTGGGGGCACTACATGTGCATGCTTGGTGTAGGTAGGTGTGTATGCACACCTCACGTGTATTTGGTAAGTTTCTGAGCATGCTGTATGTGGGCACACACACACCTGTGCGCTACATATGCATGTGTGCACTCTATCTATCTACACCTCCCCTGTGCACTACATACACACGTGCACTGTCTATATATATATCTATCTACACCCCCCCCCATTCACTACATATATGTGTGCACTAATATATATATATATATATATATATATATAGACACTGTATATGCACGCATGATATATGTGGGCGTTATTTGTGCATGCGCACTATACATATTTGTGCTGTGTGCACGCACTATGTGTGCATGTTACATGTGCTTATATCAGTGTTTCCCAACCTTTTATCAGCCCAAGGGCACACTTACATTAATACAGATTTGCTGTGTCACACCTGTTAAGGCATTCCCCATCCTCGTACCTAGTGTAGTTCAGTGCCATGGCAGAGTTTCGTGACACACCTGTTCATTTCTGATGGCACACTTTTGTGCCACAGCACACTGGTTGGGAAACACTGGCTTATACCTGTATGTGCCATACCTGTATGTATGTTCGTGCGAGCAACACATTTAAGTGTGTGACCAACACAGTGGGAACGTATTCCTTGTGTACAAGTAGGGTGGTTTATGATGTATAAATCTTGTTTGGAGCAAACGATTTTCTATATGCGTCTCAATGAAGCCAGAGACTTAGGTTTCTTAAGCTTTTCTTGTTTATATCTGGTGTGGTTTCATACTTTCCAACTCCTTTAACCCCCGTATCTTTTTCATTTTGAAGTGGGACCCTATGATCACTACATTACCTGGCTTATACCTGGTGTCTGTTGGAATAGTGAAGCCTGCAGCATGGCTCTTTGGATGGTCTGGAAGCGTAGTGTGCTCGACAGGAATGCTCAGGTTTATTAACCTCCTTTTCAGTGTTGGCAACTTCTACTTGCTGTATTTGCTTTTGGGCAAGATCCATCAGAAAAACAAGGTACAGTCTAAATCCTTTACACTTGAGCTAGGGAAGTTATGTACAGTAATGCAGACAGCTTTAAAAATAGCCTAGGCCCTTAGTTTATGTTGCAAGGAGTTTGAATTATCATCAGCTTTATCCAGATACAGATACTTGAATCATACTGCCAGTTGACGTTGCTGTGATGATCTGTGTCTTTTTCTTTAAACACAGATTTTTCTGCTTTCCTTAAAGCTTGTTCCTGAAAAGATTGGCATTTGTGTTTAACTTTATACACGTGGATAGTCCCACTGAAATTAATTCAGTGATTCTCAGTTAGGGTACCGCAATATCCTTCTACAGTGGTGCACAATAATGGTACTCTTAGGTATGCACATACCTACACACAGTTCACAAGATAAACCCACAGATTTCACATAGGAATCTAGAGCATCAAAAATGTTCAGAGTGCCATGGTCTTTATGAGGTCTTTGCAGCAGAAGCATTGCTTTATTATTTTTCTGTAGTTAAAGAAATGAGGGAAAGCTAAGAGCTGGCATTTTCCATTGTGTGTCTTGAATCTGAAATGATTGAGAACCACTGTGTTAAGGGGACTGCTTATGTGCACAAAGTTAATAGTCATAGATTGTATAATGTGAAGGGACCGTCATCTAGTCTGAATTGCATGGGACAGGCCTGCTTAAAACCCTTCACTTGCAGCTGAGCAGAATTTTTTTGGAAAGATATCTAAAGGAAACTATCACAGATCAGAAACCAAACTAACTCTTTATGGTTCAGGTTCAGTGGAGGCTATAGTAACTGTTCTTTTGTGGACTGATGCATTCTGGGATGTGAGAAGGAGCTGAAATTAGAGGATATGAATTAAGACTGCTTGCAGATGTGGAAAAAACCCCAAAAATGGCACTTTAAACTCAGTGTGCTCCTGCACCGAGCCCAGCACATGGCCTGAAGAGGCAGCGCGTTAGTTGCTCCCAGCTTTCCCAATGTCTGTAGAGAGTGGGCTCTTTTAGTGGGGCTTTTTTGGAGCTTTTATCTAATAGCTAATTGAATTGGCTTTAGCTAAAAGTGTCAAAAAACCCAGCCGAAGCACCCGATTTCTACAGACGCTGCAGAGCCAGGTCAAAGTAACGCACTGCTGCTTCCAGTAGAGCACGTGTTTTTTGAGTTTTTTAATCCTCCCCAAACAGTTGAAAATTATGTGTTTTTATTTTTTGTTTTGTTTTGTTTTGTTTTTTAATAATTGAATGCTGTCCCCTGAGCCTTGATGGTGGCAGCTTTTGTGGTTCTGTTGTGAAAATGCTAAGATATTTGAGTGGTCCTACTGAGTTCACAGTGTGCCTGTATGTGTATAGTGAATGCATAGTGAATTCAGTAGGACCACTCAAATATACACAGTGAATCCAAGGGAACCACTCTGCATTATTTCAGTATTTTCAGCAGCAGAACCACAATAGTCATTATATAGAGACCTGAAATATTATTGATGTTATGTTAATGTCATTTTGTTTTTTGTGCAGTTCACTTTTAATTCAGCACCAATAGTGTGCAATCTTCTGATCCTTCTCCTATTTCATTGTTTTGTGCTCTGTATTAGCATAGCAGAATGCAAGGTATGCGCTGTTACAATAAAAAGCGGAATCAAAGAGCACAAGAAATGTTATTTTATGGTACTAAAACTCTAAAGAATAGACTCTTTGACTGCTGGTGTGTTTTGTTCTTCAATAGAAGTAATACTACTAATTTTGTTTTCCCCTCCCTTCTCTAGGCTGTGTCTGGTTTCCAGAGAATATTATCTACATTAACTCTTGCAATATTTCCTACCCTTTATTTTTTTACATTCCTTTATTATACAGACACAGGATCAACATTTTTTACTCTTTTTTCATATTTGATGTGCCTTTATGGTAACCATAAAACTTCAGCCCTGCTTGGGTTTTGTGGCTTTATGTTTCGTCAGACAAATATTGTATGGACTATTTTCTGTGGGGGAAGTGTTGTTGCAGAAAGGCTAAATGAAGCATGGAAGACTGAATTGATGAAAAAGAAAGAAGAAAAGTTTTCATCTACGAAAGAATCATTTTCAGAAATAATCAGAATACTACAGTTCCTTATTAAGTACATCATATCCTTTAAAAACCTTGTTGCACTTGTAGTTTTGATTTGGCCATATATCCTTTCAGTAAGTGCATTTTTTACTTTTGTGGTCATCAATGGAGGAATAGTTGTTGGAGACAGGAGTAATCATGAAGCCTGCTTGCATTTCCCTCAGCTGTTCTACTTTTTCTCCTTTACCCTCTTTTTTTCCTTTCCTTACTTAATAACTCCTTGTAAAATTGGAAATTTCCTTCAGTCATTACGAAAGCACCCAATGTACTATGGTATACTAATTGCCATTTCTTTATTCCTGGTCTGGAAATTTACCTATGTTCATAAGTATCTGCTTGCAGATAACAGGCATTACACGTTCTATATATGGAGAAAAATCTTTCAAAGACATGAATTTTTGAAATATGTATTAGTTCCAGTCTACATATTTGCTGGGTGGAGTTTTACTGATTCACTGAAATCAAAATCCATTTTCTGGAACTTAGTATTTTTTGTATGTTTGTTTGCTGTCACAGTTCCTCAGAAGCTGTTGGAATTTCGTTACTTCATTTTGCCATTTTTAATATATAGGCTAAATATTCCTTTTCCACCTCTTTCTGGGCAGCTTCTTGAGTTTGCTTTATATGTTGTTGTTAATGCAGTAACTTTACATCTCTTTTTGAACAAAACATTCCAATGGCCAAATAGTGAAGAAATCCAGAGGTTTATGTGGTGATTTTGTGTACCTTTGTATTCCGAGAAAGAACAAATTCTATGCCTTTTCTTCAATGAATAGGGTCAATAGGCCCTGAAATTAAGTGTGTGTTTCTCTGTGATTATTTTCCCCCTTTTGGGGTAGAGAAAGTGTAATGTGTTGGATGCTTAAATTCTTGCAACTCTATGTGAGATCGGATCTGTTTTTCATATGACCAGGTATTAACCAAATTTAAGAGGTTCTGGAATAAATAAAACATCAGGAAAAATTCAAAGGGTAAAACCAAATATTCTACAAATACTGTGAAATGAGAGATATGTTTACAGGCATATGTCATTTTAATACTGTTATTTTTTTAGTAAATATGTATACAACTCACCCTTCCAAGGAGTTGCTAAAGCAAAAAGGGTCTGCTCCTAACCCCAAGCAAAAAGGTAATGCACAACAGTACTTGTAAAATGTTGAAGTAAAGGTAAAATTCTTATGACCACAGGAGTGGAAGGGAACACTTGGGCCATTGAACCTGCTGTAGGCACCTGTGTATTGCATGTTAATCCAGAAGGGTTTGGATAGTGGAACATATACTGTAAGCATATTGAAGCTTCAAAAGAGAGGGGATAAATGGGGAAGAAACTTGAAATAGGAAAAGCCATTATAATAACCTTACTTAATCTTTTATACAAGTTGCAGAGTTCTTTATTGCCTAGACCAGTAATTCTCAACGGGGTGCTGCAACAAAAACTTTTTTACTGTCCAAATCCCCAGGGTCTGGAATAGATTCCCCCTAGAGGTGGTGCAGGCACCTACTCTGGATTCCTTTAAGAAACACTTGGATGCCTATCTTGTTGGGATCAGGAGGCTGAACCCGATGTGAGGTCCCTTCCAGCCCTAATGTCTATGAAATCTATGAAGAATCAGCCAGGGTCCTGCGATGTCAGTACCACTTCTACTGTGGTTTCCACACACCTGTTTTCAGGAGGCTTGTTAGAGCGTAAATAAGAAGTGACTGCAGGAGAAACTCACATCTACTGTCATGCCAGACCATGTGCAGTCAGGCCTGGAGACACTTGGGGATTGAGGTGCTACCCAGGGTCAGGAGGAGTGAGCAACCAGATCATGTGCATTCAGGTCAGGAGTGACAAGTCAGGTCAGGAAACCAAGAGATCAAGCAGAAAGTGGAGTTGGAGAGCAAGCCGGAGAGAATGGCAAAGGAGTGTGGGATCAGGTTGAGCCCTGTTCCCTAATCACTTCCTGTTGCTGTGCAGCTGCCCTGCAGTAATTGGAGGTTCAGCCAAAGCAAGAGGTAAAGACGAGATGAATACCACTAGGACTTGGGGACAGAAATTACACACAAACTAGTATAAGTGATCGGAAACCGGTTCAAATGTGTAACACAACAGAAGTCCACTGCATATAAACTGCATTCAAAATGGACAAAACTGATTTAAGATAAACCTGGATGGATGCAGTATCAGACTTAACTGATTTAGGTTAAATTGGTTTATTGAATTTCTGTCCCATATCCCCTCCAGCTTTAAGTTAACTCACAGTCCCCCAGAATCCCAGGATGCTTTGTACCTCCCCTGCAAAACCACCTCTTGCAAGGTGGATGTGTTAGCCTTGGCTCAAGCTGTCTGCTCCAGTTGAGCAGGGAGGCATACTCTAGTGTCTCCTGGCTTCTGGCCTGAGCCACTGCAGGCATGTTGCTACATTTCTGGAATCAAAGGTGAATATCTGTTCACTTGCCTATTGGTTCAATCTCCATAGCTTAAACTAACCTTTGAAGAGTGAATCAATTCAGCCTCAGGCTTTTTGACTGCCTGTACTTAGTCTAGGTGATTGGTTTAACTTGTTCACATCTGTATTGACAAGATAGGTCCATCATTTGCTGAAACAGGGATCCAGGTTTTCAGTTCACCATGGAAAAATGTGATAAAACCCGGACATTTTTCCGCTTGCAGCCTGGCAGAGTTCCAGCCTGCAAGGGGCTGGGGGGAGTGGAAGAAGGGTGATCAGCCGGAGGCACCATGTGCATGTGCACATGTCACACGCACATGTCCACTAGGCAGCCTGGAGAGCAGCTCCCTGCGTTTAAATCTGATGGGGTGGGGGGGTGTGCAGAATTGAGGCTCTCATAGGGAGGGAGGGAGTTGGGTGGGGTTGGGGCTGAGACAGCTGCCAAGCTGGAGTGGTGCTTGGGGCCTGGAGCTGGAATCTGTGGTCTCAGGGCCCAGACAGGGAGCAGGACAGGGCTGCAGGTGTCTTGTATGGGAAGGGGGGACAGTTCCTCATCACTGTGTGCACTCCCAAGGAGGGCATGGGGGGCACAGCCACAGCTGGACCCACATCAAGGTGAGTGAAGGGGGCAGGGGGAGCTCTTGATTTTTGATGATAAAAATCCCAAAATCAGGCACCAAAATGTATATGTATTTAGAAGTTATTATTGAGGCAGTGTTAGGCTTCGAAATTGCTTTACAATTGTAAATATATCAATAAAATATTGTGTGCAACTTATATGTATAGTGGCGTTTCATTTTAATCATGGGAAAAATGCGCATTTTGGGTTTTTTAAACCAGAGAATTTGTGATTTGTATGCCTTTTTAATCAGAATTTGTGTTTTTTTTAAACTGAGGAAACCAGGATCCCTGCTGTGAAGAATTCATGGGAAAGTTAAAAAATTTTGATAAATTGTCTTGTAATGAGTCTGTTGCTGTGCCAGGATATATGCGGGAAGTGGAGGGCCAGCTGGGTCTGGCCAGCCTCTGTGTGATAGGGAGTGGGTGGAGGGTTAGGCCCTGTGGAGGCTTCAGGCCATCCTGGATCAGTTGGGGCAAACAGCTGTGGGGTGGCAAGCTGGGTTAAGCAGGTGTGTTAAATTGGCTGAGGCAGGCAGTGAGGCTGCTTCTGTAGCTTTTCCCAGTTTGGCTCCAATGTGCCTTCTGTATGTGGAGGCATGTGGGGCAGATCTACTTGGTGGCAGTGGCATTTATCTCTAGACTCCTGTTGCCATCGGGTCAAACTGCCCTACATGCCAGGAGGCATATTGGAGCTGAACCAGGAAGACCTACGGCAGAAGTGGTGTGTCTGCCTGCATAAGGTAATGCATGCAGGTGTGGCTTTCTTCTCAGTCCCTTGCTTTTCAGCTTGGCTCCAGTGTGCCTCCTGAAAAAAAGAAATATGGGGCAGTTCCACTTGCTCTGCATGCCTCTGTTTCCAGGAGACACTGCAGGGTTGGACCAGAAAGGGCTGCGGCAAGAGTGCATGTACTCCTGCCACATCCACTTCCCAGTCTGGCTCTGGAGGAGGTGCATGGTACAGTTCCACCTGGCCATGTCAGCAGTGGCAGTTTGGTGAATATAATATAATAATTAATCAATTAAGGATGTTATAATAATTATAATGCTTATGTTATAATATTCATACTATGTTAGTTTTTTAAATAGAGTGCCTACTGTGTTAACTACTATGTTTTTTAAATAGAGTGCTGTTGAATTTTCTAAACTCAAGGTACCCTTTCAAAGCTTTTCAAAAGTGGAGAGCCACCAGTTTAGACTAAAGCAGTGTTTCTCAACCTATGGGTCACAACCAAAAGTAAGTTGCAAAACTATTTGAAAAGGTTGCGTACAATCACAGAAAAACATCACAGAAAGCTTGGGTTTCCCCTTGTAGGTTGGCAGCGTTCCAACTTGCAAGGGGTTGCTTAGGGTTGAGGGAGTGGGATGCAGGGGGCACCAGATGCATGTGTGCACACATGCATGTGGCAACCAGGCAGGGTGGAGAGCAGCTCCCTGCAGGTAAATCTGTAGGGCAGGGAGGGGCACAGATGACGCATTGTGGGGGGTGCAAAGGACACAGGTGATATGTCAAGGAGTGAGGGGGCACATACCCCCTCCACAGATTTGTGCAGGCATGGGTCTGCAGCCTGGCTGGACCAGCATGGGTAGGAGCTGCCTCTAGCCCAGCGGGTGGGTTTCATTGCAGGAGGGTGGAGTAGGGCAGTGAGACTGGTTGCCAGCAGCTGGGTCGTGGCGGCAGGGTAGAGCCACAGCCCAACACGCA